TTTTTTTTTTTTTTTTTTTTTTTTTTGTACACTTTATAACCAAGTGAAAAGAATGTAAATGTCTTTGGTACTACATTGAACGATACGTGTTTTACAGTCGCCTGTCCGTGATTCTTTAATCCTGCTATATCCTTTGAATCATTTTTTCATTTGATCGTGTCTGTTTATCGGAATGTTTCTTACGATCGAGGGAAACACCAGTGAGGATCGTTACTGATATACGTAATTTTTCGTTTTAGTTTTGTGTTAAAGTCTTTCTTAGAAGATTTAAGACCTTCTGCTCGCTGAAGCAAGAACCAGATTGCAGCATTTATATCCGAGGGACGACAGTTAACGAACAGTTCTTTGCGGAAATTAACGTTGTTACGCCACGAGGTTTACCACAGGCTGTATTTTCTAACCGTCGCTCGCGGTCCTTGTGACACCAATTACCTCTCAGAGAAGAGACATCGACTCCCGACTGTCGGACGCGAACGCCGCGACGCATCTTAGTCCCCATCAGAGATAAGGCCCCGACCCCGACTTTCGGACTCCTTGGAATCCACACCGAACCCCCTGCGACACTAATTACCTCTCAGTGAAGAGACATCGATTCCCTACTGTCGGACGCCAACGCCGCGACGCATCTTAGTCCCCATCAGAGATAAGGCCCCGACCCCGACTTTCGGACTCCTTGGAATCCACACCGAACCCCCTGCGACACTAATTACCTCTCAGTAAAGGGACATCGACTCCCGACTGTCGGACACCAACGCCGCGAAGCATCTTAGTCCCCATCAGAGATAAGGCCCCGACCCCGACTTTCGGACTCCTTGGAATCCACACCGAACCCCCTGCGACACTAATTACCTCTCAGTGAAGAGACATCGATTCCCTACTGTCGGACGCCAACGCCGCGACGCATCTTAGTCCCCATCAGAGATAAGGCCCCGACCCCGACTTTCGGACTCCTTGGAATCCACACCGAACCCCCTGCGACACTAATTACCTCTCAGTGAAGAGACATCGATTCCCTACTGTCGGACGCCAACGCCGCGACGCATCTTAGTCCCCATCAGAGATAAGGCCCCGACCCCGACTTTCGGACTCCTTGGAATCCACACCGAACCCCCTGCGACACTAATTACCTCTCAGTGAAGAGACATCGATTCCCTACTGTCGGACGCCAACGCCGCGATCTCTCGCAACCCAAGTATCCATTTTACGTGACATCCTACAGCGTCGCAGGCAGACCTTCTTATCTGCCCACCGGATCATATGCAATGTATGGACGAGAGCATAGTTGTCGCCAAGCAGCGAGCTCTGGAAACGTCGATTTTTGACCGTTACGTTTTTCACACAAGAAGAGACATACGTGATCATAGGCGCGAGCGGTGGCGTTTAAATACGGTTAAATTTGTGTAGAAGTTCCGAGAGCGGTCAATTTGACCGCGCCGGTAGGTTTAGTGACAATCTTTCTCATTATTTGAGCAGTAATTTGTTATTTAACCCCTTGTTGTTATTTAAATTCGAACAGAGTTAATTCAGTGTTGCTCTTAAGGCGGATTCTCGTGTAACAACCATAGAAGCAAGTGATCTTTATGGACTTCTTTTAACCCTTAGAGTGCTCTGGACGCATATATGCGTCTGGCAAAAGCTATCGGTGTGGACTAAGGACACATATATGCGTTTTCTCTAAGTGTCCGGCATGAACAAAGGACGCATATATGCGTTTGTCAATTTTTCCGAACACCTACGCAGAAGTAATACTATTACGTTTGTGCGAGATAAATATAAATGCATTCCTTATATATAATGCATATATTTTATATCAAAAATCTACTGCTTCGATGCATATATTTTAT